CTGTTTCTAAAAGCTTCTTGTTACTACTAGTAAGGCACCTGTTTCTAAAAGTTTCTTGTTACTACTAGTAAGGCACCTGTTTCTAAAAGCTTCTTGTTACTACTAGTAAGGCACCTGTTTCTAATAGCTTCTTGTTAATACCAGTAAGGCACTTGTTACTACTAGCGATGCACTTGTTCCTACTAGCAAAGGAATCTACTAGGTCAACCATCTAAACCCGCCTTTGAGAGGTCTTGAAATAGACTGGGTTCCAATAGTCAGGATATGCCTCAAAACAAGGATCCAAAACGATCAGCTTCAGATGACCAAACAAATGTCTTGCAAACACCAGCTCAGGAATTCAGCACGATGCAGTAATGATCGCAAACTTGCACAGCGAAGCCAGCGTCACAGCGAAGCAGGCATGCAAAGGGCATCATCGGTCGCCCTCCCTGCATTCGGTCCTGCCCCATGCGCAAGCCGATCTGGGCATAGAGTTTGTGCTTCTGGCAGCGAGCCCACGGGTCAGAACGGCATCCTGGGTGATATTCTATTTGACGCTGACATTGTTCATTCTATTTTGACGCTCATCTTTCTTCAAGTAATAGTGAAAACTGGATGAAACTGTGAATGAACTCATCATCATTCCGACCCAACCAGTCCTTCCACCTAAATTTCCACTTGACCCTCTTCTCCCTCCCACTCTCCGCCTGAATAAAGGGTGTCGTGGCATCAGTGCCAATGAGCAGCGAGAGCTCCAGCAAGACCTCGGCACTCATGTACGGATGGCTAACCTTGCTCAGTGATCGTGTCATCATGTTGGAACTCTCAAAGAACAACTCAAAGCTGTCAGTGAAACATGTGGCCAGGATCACCGGTCCACTCAAGTGCTCAAAGACATGATCCTTCGTTCCCGAAATCATTTCTAGAATTCAGCCTCTCAGCAAAGCGGGTGAAGCGGGGGAGTCTGTGACTTGAGACCATCAGGATCTGGAAACCCATTGACCAATCCACCTCTTGCAACCCTGAAAGCTCATGGTGTCCAAGGCATGTGCAAATAGAATGTGGATTTACACTTAATTGTATGAATATATACAAAATATTTGTACGCAAAAAAATATCTCCATGCTTCGAAAGGATCTGCAAACCCTTTCTCATCAGAAGCGTGGTTTGTTGGTAGGGTCTCCTGACCTCTTGTTGGAGGTTTTCCAATCTCAGTTCACAGTCACCAAAATTCTGGGTGTGTCAGGCAGCAGCACTTCACAATGGCCTTCTGTAGACAAAACTGATACCAACGGCCTATTGTAGACAAACAGCGACCCCTCAATCCGCCCTCCACAGGCACTGTCTTGGCCGAGCAGCTGATTCGAACCACCACTTGAAGGGCCAGTTCCGGCGACCGAAGCTTCCACCCTTCCCCTTGCCTCGCCGCCAAACCGCGGTTGCCGCAAGCGGAGCAGTTGCTGGATGACCCCCCGCGGCTTGGTCCACCGGTTTTACCCCGCATCGTTTTGACAGTGTCGTTGCTGCTCATGTCTTTGGTTCTTGCGTCCTATTAGATGGAAAGGTATTCTTTGTCAAATATGTCTTGCGTGTCTGTATAGTTGCAATCGAAAAATGTGGTTCCTCTCATTCTCTTTCCACTACAGAGGTCATCAACCCACGACTGCAAACCTGTCTCCACAAACCTCGCCTTTGGCAATGTACTCCTGGGAGCTGCGAAGCCCAACACACGAACGAAAAACGCCCAATCCACCAGGCAGAGGACGTGCTCATCGGCCACATCTTTGGGTCTCTGTATTGGTTCCATCAAACAAACGACAGGCGAGTTGAGGTGAGTTAGGTGAGTTTGGTTGTTCCATCACCAGGGCGAAGTTCGTTGCCAGGGTGACACTGAGCTTCCATGTCATTTGCATTGCTGTTGATCTTGGACCCTTGCTTCACCCGGTTTCATTGATATTCATACTTTCGCACTTTCTGACTACGGTTTTGCAGGTGCCTATCTGTCTCCAGGCTGTCTGCCTTAAGGACTTGCTTTGAACCAATAAGTATAAATGTACCGTGAATACAAGTGATTTAGGGTGTTCCAACTCGGCAGCATCCACACTGCCAGTCCGGTTGGCTAGTTTGTTTTCTTACCTGCTTCGAGATGCCTTTGCAAGTTCTCTATCAACAATCTCCAAGATCCTGCTGGATGCCTTGGCTTGGTAGCGTCAGAAGTTGTTCCACATTTGTGCAACTTTGAATGCAGGATCCAAGACTTGTTCATGTTTCGAGCATGCTTTGCAGGCCTACTGCATCTCGATTCAACAGTTCGGCCATGTCAATCTCTCGTCTTTGGACGGCATATTTGTTCACTGCAAACCGCTGAAGTGTTCCTTATCTAGGGAGGCTCCAACTCTCAATCATTGCAAGAACGTGCAAGCCCACCAGCGTTGAACCATGCAAAAAAAAATGTACTGTATATATATATATATATAATCAAAACGTGAAACTGCTGCTACTGACTAGGATGCTTCATCCAAACAAAGATAAATTGAGATCTCCTGAGGCCATCCAAAACTGTCTCTCACCGATTGAAAGCCGATGCCCGTCCTTCACTTCCTCCTCCTTCGGAGGATGGCCCAACCTGCCGCAAGGAATGCCAACGCAGGATGCGCTGATGCTGAAATAGCACGCGTTCAGACGTTGATGAGCTTGCAGGAGGGATGTTCCTGTGACAGGCATGAGTCCTTTCAAGCCTTTCCTTTGGGCGCGTTCATGTGCAGAAACTCTGGTTTGTCAGCAAATCGCTGAGCAAAACAGAGCCCAGGTTGTCCGCACTGGTGTGCAGTACCATGCATCAACAGGCACGAAACAGCGTCATCAATGGCACGGCCTGAGATGCTCTGCCACGAGGTCCGCCGAAGTGTAGGCCACCAGGAAGCCTCAGAATAGATCCTGCCTTCACTGATTCACAGGCTCCGACAAAGTATTAGCTTTCACAAACAAGAACACGTGCTCCCAAAACCAAGGTCAGAAATACCCAGTGTACATCTGAGTGTCTCAGACCATGGTTAAAGGGGCAAGCTCCACAAAGCCACCTCACAAGCTCCCCACATGTGCTCACCAATGTGTGCCTTGCATCTGAGTAGTGCTGACTTGCTGTAATGTTCGCAAAAACGACCTAGCACCGAACCAACCAGAAACGAGCTAGTTTCATGTAACAATGTAAGGGTGTCGGGGGCCGCAGGTTTGATTTCATCACAGTGTGGGGTGCATGGTAAGGGATGGGTCATCCGCCGACCCCGGTCTAGGACGATGAACGTGCGTGCTCCTGAGAAGGACTCCGGTGAGTGGTGGACGATGCTGGTTAGCCGTCACGTTGCCAAAGCCGTCGCTGGCCGTCAAAATGAGTTTTGTGGGAAAGCGATGCCCAGGATTTGGCATGCAATTGGATTCGGGTAATGTTACTACTAGGAACAAGGACGCTACTAGCAACAAGTGCACCACTACTAGTAACAAGGGCATCGCTACTAGGAGCAAGGACGCTACTAGGGGCTCCTGGATGCGCGCTCCAAAAAAAGGAAGCATGGTTTATGGAGGCGTGCCGCGCGTCCGTGCTGGATGTTTCTGGAAACACACTCAGCGTACCAGACACATGTTGGTTGAAACGGAATGCCCCGGCTTCAAAAGTGACTTGGGACGGTCCAACACAGCACTTAGGGTAGGACAAACTGATGCCTCTGGCTCGTTCTTTTGAAATACGTATCCTTGAGAGGATCCTTCAAAAAGCCAGCCAAACTCCTCAAGCTGCTGGCTTCAGGTCTTCTTCGAGTTCGTGCTTTGAATCTAAACTCGTAAGCTGTCTGTAAGTGACACACAGTTGACACGGGTGGATGTAAGCTCTACACTCTCTGAAGGCAAGGAGGTATGTAGTGCGGATTCTATCGTGAAACGGACGTGAACTGCGCGTAAACCGAGCGTCAACCGAACCCCCAACACTTCTAATGCTCCTCCAAAGCCGTGAACCCAGCTCGGGCCCAGGACATGAATACTTCATTAGGCAGTGTCAGTGTTGCGTCCTCTTTTGGGGGGGCTTGCTTCCATTCGGGGCCTTCCTTGTTGCTTTGTCTCTAAGGGATCCACAACCAATTCAGCTGTCATTATCAGCTTTAGTGGCGTTTCCTTGGCAATTTCAGGGAATGAAATGCCCACAACAGTAAGAGGTGCTGTGGTTGTTGGAATTAAAAACGTGGTCCTTTCCCATCCTCTCCCTGAACTTGATCGTTTAACCATGACCTCGCTAAACTACATCGTCGGACCTCAGCTCCCCAACCCCGCTCGGTTGCTAGCTCCCTAAATTAAAAAGACAACATACTGATGAGCTCCACTACAAGACCTCTGCCGGGCGCCGGAAACATCTTCAAGGCTTGCAAGCCTTTTATCCCAGCCTTCTTCAAGGCTTTCATGTCACAGTCTGAGTTTCCGGCTTTCCACCTCGGGCCATTGTGGCGACTCCTGCACGGGAAACAACCTTCAGGCTTGGATGTAGGGCCTCTAGGGGTACAGCACTTGGGACCTGGCTTGGCCGAAAGCCCTGTGGACCTGTTGCACAACCCCTCTGCTGGGGTAGAATTTTGTTTTGGGGGTGTAGCATGGCATAGCTGTGCCCATATCTTAATCGGCTTTCCTTTCCGGCTCACACTCTCTCGGATACTTCCCTTATTGGTGGCAACCGGAGGAGAATTACATATGTTCAGCAACAATAAATATGCAACTGCTTGACCGGTCTTCAGTCTGTATCGGCACATCTATCGTGAACGTGGTCACAAATCCCCATCACTTTTTCTGCCACATGATGTAGGACTCCCAAAGGAGTACCTACTGTAAACGAGGTTCTGCTCAGAGCCCAAGCCACCAGTTCTCCGGAACTGTCTGGGTAGATGATGGGGGTACACGGTCCACACCCACATCTTGACCTCTGTTCTGCCTTCCCATCAATGACCTCAATACACGAAGAAAAAGGATTGATCATCCGCTTAAAAACAAAAGCTTTGAAATCTTTGAAGTTCAACATTCCGCAACAGGTCTAGCAGCCTAGCAGGTGTGTTCCGTATCTAGTTACAAACGGTTCTTCTCAATGCTTCCCATGTGCAAGAATCCAATTCCCAGTCCGCGTCTTTGGGCTTCAGCACACCATGCAGGTCGAAGAACCTTTGGCACTGATGTGAATGGGCGAAAAGGAAATTCCGGCCTCTCGTAGTAGAAGGATAAGGACCACTCATGTGGCATCAGAAAGCTGGTACACGTCCGTTTACTGGTGCAGGTTCAAAATCAATCATTCATGAAGGAGATTCCACACGAAAGATCTTAACTTGCTGCTGCTTCTCTCTTTCACAAAAAAGAACGACAGCTTTTGCGACCCTTTGCAGGTCCCGGACGACAGCGGGATGAGCTTCATGCCCGGCACGACCGCCCAGTCGATGTTGTCTGAGACCTCGACTCGAATAAAAAGAAACTCGGTCAGACCGCGGGAATTGATAAATACATATGTCCATGCCAAAAATCTGACATGGATAGGTTGGAGGCCATTGCTCTAGTAGGTTGGAAGCTTAGTAGGTTGGAGGCTAGTAGCGATGCTTATTTGGCAGACCATACGCATCCAAACGATGTACCAACATGTTTTGACCTTTGTTGATCCAACACACCCCATGATTCTTGCGAGGCATCTGTGAAAGTTGGGGCCCCAGTTCGACCCTTGAAAACTCCACAAAGTCATCATCGTTTGGGGGCCAGCAAAACCAAAAGGACATGCCTGCAACCTTAGCTCAGGTTTTTCTAACTCCTGCGTATCAGCTGAGTCACTCCGTACACTATGCTTGCGTGGAAAAATGCCATCGTGTCCCCGTGACGCTGGACGACGTTCGGCGGTTCTTCGATTTCTCCGATCGTCGAAACCAAGTTCCACAGCATAAAACCTTCAAAAAATGTTGCTAGCAAAGTTGCCATTTCCTGGGACACCCCACAATGCCCCAAACATGCGCCCAGTCGGAGCCACGCCTGATCGGAGTCGGAGTCTGAGTTCTCCAGAGTCCCCCGTGCGTCGGGATCCCAAATACTTCTGCTATTAGAAGGAAAAGAAGCAGTGTAAGTTGCCCTCACATGGAAGGGATGTGGGGAACATATTTGCTCCTTCTCCAAGGTCTGCAGACCCTCCTCGGGAAGATTCATCAAGTCCTACTGTTGTGGGGCAACTATGCTTCCTAAATCTTCCTAACATGTTTTGGTCCGGATCCAAGAGTTGAACCTAACGAACTCTGGCCTTCGAGTTTGGACCAATGCAGGATGGTGCATGTGGTTTGGATTGACGGCCTGATCACTTCGCTTGGCGTCCCAAACCAAATCCTTCCAATCCGCAGGAAGCCGAATTCTTGGCCTCGTAGATAGCAAGGGCGATTGCTCATGGGCGCTTAGGTGCCACACCTCACAGTCTTCGACTCAAACTTGGGGACTGCATCATCGAGAGCGAGGTGGATGAAAGGGACTGTGGAAAGGCTTCTTGAAATGTGTGAAGGTGCTCAAGTGGCCCAAATTCTTGTTGATTGGCATCTCATCCATTTTTCGGGCATACAGCGCAAGTCGGAAAGAATACAAAGGAGAGATGTGTACCCCAAAGTTCTTTCCAAATCGATGCTTTGTCCAAATCTCCAAAGAGCAAACAAACATGTTCAACTGTTTATCGGCTCTTAGCCGTCAGACCTACATCAAATCCTGCGGGACCGTTCGTGTGGTTTTTTTCCAAATGGACTCAGATCTACTGAGATCATGCAATTTACAAAAGAAGGGTAGGTCTGTGGATGAGGGCGGCTGTGCAGGAATTTGGCCTCCTTAGCCTCATCGTTGGCTAGGGATCATCCGTTGGATCATCTGAGCATTGAAACATCCACCCCATCAGCATGTTGTCTTCATATTATCGTCGGTATTGCTTTACATATTAGGACATGGAGGAACTCAGCAAAGGCTCGAATGCTCCTAGCAGCTTCTTGCTCCTAGTAGTGCGGCCAGGAGCCCCTAGTAGCGTGGCCCTTCGCTCCTAGTAGCGATGCCAGGAGCCCCTGGTAGCGATGCCCTTGTCCCTATTGTACCACTGAAAACGAAACTGAGAGATGCGTCCACCCTGCCGGATTCGCATTCTGCCTGACACCCACAGCGCGCGAGAGTGGCTACCACCTGCAGTGCGAAGCTCCCGAAAGGACTCATGCTGGCGGGAATACAGTACACTATGTTACAGTATGTGGTTGATGTAGCTGTGGGTGAAGACCTCAGTGTCTTGAGGAAAAAGACCCAAATGAACAGAGTAGTTGACCACCTGTTGTCCATCCATCCATCCATCCATCCGTCCATCCATCCATCCATCCATCCATCCATCCGGCAGTGACTTGCCCCGATCCCATTGGAGTATGCATGAATGCGTGGGGTTTGGGAGCAGTGCCCATTGCCAATAGTAATTGGCGGCATATGTTTTTCATGACAGTCCCATAATCCATCATCCGCTAACTTGTGTGAAAACCTGTTCATTTTGAGGTTCCATTGTCGCCGTCTCAGTCTTTAACAACAGCCTCAGAGGTGTTTGTTCTTGAAGTCGATGCTCAAACTTCAGTTGCTAACCCTTAGGAGTAACATCCAAGTCCACACCTCTGAAGAAGTCTTGAAATGGTTCTTGACATGGACAAACGCATGACAAAATGAGTACGTTCTGGCTTCTGTCAAAACATCTGAGCTGTGACAGCTTCCTACTGCCCCCAACACCAACCACTTCCCAGACCTGTTCGTAGAAGAGCGGGGGCAAGGAGCGTGCCTGGCCAAGGATGTTCTCGAATGTGAAAGGAGTGAAGTGGACACCTATACTGTACGTAGAATAAAGCACACCGAGAGGCACTGGAAGAAGACTACCCGCTGTTTCTAGAGGACAGGAAAGTCTGTCCGAGCCATTTCCACGCATATAGTAGTGTAGCGAGTGTCAGGTCAATGTTACATCTTCAAGGCTTCCCATCTCAAGAATACAGTATTTGTGGATGACCTAAGGTAAAGTGTCATTGGGTCATCTCGCCTCAAAAGCAGCTTGGAACGGTTACAATATGTCTCTTCCCTTCATGCGTTACGTTGATGTGACCTTTCACTGCAAAAGGGTACATATAATTGAAGATCAAGATTGAATCAGAGTGTCGTCTATTTTCCACTTACAGTAAACTCATAAATAGTGTCACGGGATTCTCATCCCACTCCAATGACCTACAACACCCCTTTTTTCGTTCACCTCACCCCCTTTTTTCGTCGTACCGGCCTCTACGAGGTTCGGCAGGTCGTTGCGCTCCCCACGACACCACAGACGGACCGCCTCGGGGACGTCGCTCCCCAAGGGACGGGAAGAAACATGCGAGACTTGGACTTTGCTCTTGGTCAAGAACACTGTTCATCAGCTGGGCAAACGGGAAAGAAGTGCTTCGACTCAAACACACAAATGGTTCAGACTCCTGCAGACAAAGCCCTGTTCAAGCCTTCCATGGTTCAAAGTTCAAAGTCACAAAAAAACATCGAAACTGAGCGAGCCTCACGGAGGCTTGCAGAGATTCCATCTTTCGCTGAGGCTAGAATTCTATGGGCTCAAGGCTGTGAGGAAATCACTCACCACCAACAAAGACCAATATGCTTTTGGCCAAGCGTTCCCTCGACTAACTTGATGAGTGTTGATGTATCACAACCGTGGACTACAGTCCCACAGGTCACTACGTGGGCAGTTCAAAAGCAAAACTTTGAAGATCTCACCCATTTGGGACCACCCGTGACCGGTGTCTTTCACGTCACTGGCTTCATCGCATCGCCGTCCCCACCTTGGCCACGTCCAAGCCCTGGTTGCATCGCCGCTTCCCCTCGCCAGCGAGCGGCGCGCAGCGCGGTGCGGGTCGCATGCGCCACGTTGCCGTGAGGGGTGGAAGTGACCGGGTAGTGTGACTATGTTCCAACCAAACTGCTCTACTGTAAACAATTGCAAAACCATGGTTTTTCCTTGCAAGCAGCCTTGTGGTTGTGCCAGTGGTCCATCCTCTTTCGGGAACAAAGTGTGTCCAGGTTTGGGCCCCACCCAGAGACCTCTCATCAAGCACCTGGCAGAACTCGCCAAACTCGCGTCGCTCCCCGCGGGGAGTTCCCAGCCTCATCGATCCAACTGTTCGTGGCGGAATCCACGAGGCCGTGTCCTCGTGGAGGATCCATGAAGAACTCCAGGTAGATGCCTCCGTCGAACCCAAAAGAGGTGTGTAGAAGCAGTGGTTCGGGGCTCGTGGGGAAAAAGCAAGACACCATGTCTAAATGACTTCAGGCCCTACGACTTCCAATGTGGCAAAAGTATGCAAAAGTGAACCTAGGAATCTGATGTCCAACACTCGGTCCATGTTGTCCCAACCTCTAAACCCTTTCTGTAAAGATTCGAGCATTGAACAGTACACTCAGTCAATTAGTTCATCTCAACCTTGCAGCAAAGAAGTGTCCGATCGGCGATCTTCCCAACCATTGTCCAAAGTCCCTTGTACAAAATGTTTCGAAAACCCTTCACAAGGGTAGTCGTTACTTTGTTTCAAAATTTAGCGTTTGGAAGATTTGCTCCCCTTGTCCTTCTTGCGTGACTGCACTCTCAAGGAGGGTTCTGAAAAGATGGAGGAGAAAGTCATAGACGTTGAACCATGACCTTCCGCGTGATACCACATGGGATACTGTGCCCAATCGCTGTTGTCAAACATGTCGCTGCCTTTAAATGGGGCATGGTGGGTGGCTCATGGTGATATATCGAAGAAAGTAGCTCCAGACTAACATGCCTACTTGGCCCGCTTCCCACAGGTTTACCAACACCTCCACCCCCTTCCCACCAGCGTGGCGCAGGCCAAAGATGGCTTCGCACAAGGCATCGTCATGCTGGGGGAATTCGCCGCCGTAAACCTGGCCGGCAAAGCGCAGTCTGAAGTTTATACATAGAATACAATGAAAACACATGTCCATATACTATATGTGTATACATTCCGATGATCTGCAGGCTTCTCTCTATTCTATCACTGAGGGTGGAGTAGATCATCTGATGGGCTTGGCTCTGCTGTGTTCACCTGTGCACGCAGTGGCACACAAGTAAATTAACAATCTTGCTCGATCGTCTGTTCCCTGGAGAGAAACTAACAGGTTTGCTCACGGTTCTACATCGCATTACATCACTGCTTCTTCAACAGTTCTTCAAGGGAACATGCTGCCAGGTCCCAGGTCACACAAAGTTCTATAATTTGTTCTCAAGGTGAACCCTGTCAGATAGCTGTGTTGAAGGAATCAAAAGATATGTCACAAAAACAAAGAGAAATCCCCTGCAGCACAGTTCATAGATACAGCCCCAACGACGAACGACAAAACCTGCACTGCTGCACGTCTGCGAATAGCTTGGCCTTCTCTTTCTCAGCCCTCCCAAAAAAAATAACAAGCTTCAAAAATCAGCCAAAGGACTTGGGATCTTCGGCTATTTACAGTGCCTTTCGTGGCAGACCGGGCTCACCGGGCTCCGCACCGTGAGGGTATTGTCGGTCCAGCCTTTGGCGGCATGATCCACCTGAAGGAGCCCGCACAGGTCAACCAACCCCGGAGGCGGCCCATCGCGGCCTGTTTCCCCCGCTGAGCCAAGTTGGAGCCACGGTGGGTTCTCAACTGAGATGGAAAAAAACAGTACCCTTCTGGACCATCAATAACGGGCTGACTTACGTCTTGAAGTCCTGAAGTTTGTTTGACATGGGACCTTCTTCCCGTCTATTTGAATCTTCATATCCTCCCAAGACACTACCTGTGGAGTGGGTGAATAGAGCCACTGGTGACTCCAGTGATCAGTGGTGACCCAAATATTGCCCTCCTTCCGACAATTCAGGATGTGGACAGTGGCTCCTTGGAAAACATGGGAACACCACTTGTCCTTCACAGACTTTCAGGGTCAGGGTCTTGTCCACTCACGTCCACCTTTTGTTGGAGGGAATGAGGGAACGAACGTACTTGTTATCCCACCACTCACGTGCAATTGTCTTCCTGAGCGAGCCCAGCAAAAGGTTTAGTGAGTGCTATGCCCATCCCTGAGCCAGCCTGAACACTTTGAGCATGACTTCAATTACCTTTTATTCTCTTACTCGCTCAAGATTTCGAGCATTTTTGTGGAAAGCTAGGTTCGCGGGCCACACAACACAAAACAAAACACTCAAGGAAGCAAAAATGTGGCAGACGGAGCAAGCCGAGCGAACGCGCCACACCCAGCTGAGACCACAAGTCAAGCACTACTCTCTCGGAGAGAGCCACACGACAGAGACAGCCAAACAACGCAAAGCCGAACCCAAAGGCACACCGGAATCCGCCTCAGAAGCATTGCCCCACCCCGGCAAAAGACCCCTCAGACAACGAACCCACGCCGCCAAGTAGCAAACTGCAAGACTGTTGCAGAAATGGTCAAGGAGTCCCCAAGGGTTCGGAATGAAGAAACTATGATAGGGAGCAAATATCCAAGTATCTTGAAGTCTGCTTCTTGGATCACCGCCCTATGGAGCCACATGGGTTGAATCTGTGAGCGGAAACAACAAAGAATACTACTACTACTACTACTACTACTACTACTACTACTACTACTACTACTCCGGCGATATACTGTACTTCATTTTGAACTGCTGTTGGAGAAGCTTAACCATAGTTGCTCTGGGGTACAATGGCCAGTGTCAGTTTTGGGGTCACCAGTGAGGTCACCTGGTCACTCGCATCGCCTCCGGCAGGAACCATGCACAGAAGTCCAGGAGGTCGACTAAAAGCGTCACACCTCGGCCAGTGCTTGAAGAGTGCGCTGGTTAGAGCGTCCTTTGCACTGGTGTTGCATAGATTCGTTGGTCTTTTTTTTAACCCCATGGCCCTACCTCCCTAATTAAGTAGGCGCTTACTTAATTATCTTCGGAAGGGAGTAAGCACGCTAATTACTGGCAAATAGGAAGCTGATAGCCAGGACGCAGGGTAGCTCACGCACTAATGATTTGGTTCCTAGATTTTTGGCAAACTTAACTAGTAGCTTGTTGCTCCTAGTAGTAAGGCCAGCAGCCCCTAGTAGCTTCTTGTTCCTAGTAGCGATGCCCTTTGTTCCTAGAAGCGTCCTTGTTAAGGGCACACACGATTGAACTCATTTGGGGGTCATCTATGACGCTCGTGAAGACAAACCAATCACCCTTTAGCCTTAGAGACTGTTCCGCTTCATAGCATACAGCATGACTCATGACCCACAATCCACCAGTTCTCTCCAACTCAAAATCCACCGGTTCACTCTCTTGTGCCCAATATCATCATCTGCAAGACATGCACCATTCGCAATTCGCAACCCCCAAAATTGTACGTAGGGTCTGAGTCTGAAACAGAATGCTCCGAAGAAAGAAGTGCAGTAGATCAGTAGATGTTGGCAAACCAGCTTCATCTAGCAAGACCCCAACTCCTTAGCCAAGCCCTACTCCGCAAGCGCAACTCGTTAACCCCTAACCCTCCCTCTGATCCCCGTGCCATGACGGCCGCTTTGCAAGGCCTCCCTGGCAAGATCCACCTCAGGCTGCTGCATCGGTCTGGCTTGTGAAAAACCATCCTTTTAGTGGCATCGGCATCAGCATTCCATGGCTCAGCCCTCAATGGTCCATTTTTGGGGTCCCTATTTTCTGGTTGGTCTTTCTAGGTTACCACCATATTTTGTTGTTTTTAAGTGTGCGCATATTTGATGCCGAAATACATGGACCCCCAGAGTTCACGGCTCAGAGCCCCGCGGTCCAACAAAACACTGGATCCTCAAAAATATCAGCACCACCCAGTCGAGAACGGTGAAGAGAAAGTCACACCTTTGAGTCAAGTCTCGCCAGTGAAGTTTCACCGCTCGAGCCGCTCGTGGCAGAAAACCCGGGCGCACCTGGACGGCCACCGCCTCGCCATGGCGCTGCACGTAGCTCAGCAGGCCACGGACGCCCATGATGGGCGGAAGATGCTGAAAACCGTGGGGTATGGATTCTATTGGATCATCATTAATCATGATGATTATGATTGGTGATGGATCATGATCGACTACGATGGATTATGATGGATCGTGGATTGGGGCCCAGGGACTCAAGATCAATGAGCTTCAATTGAAGGTGAGTGGTGTGTTCGATTTCACTCCAACTCACTTCTTGGAGATGGTCCGTCAGGTGAGTTCCAGGTTTAGTAGGTTGGTTGAGGTGGATGTGCTCTGGTTGAGGCTGTCTCGTGCGCTTACCAGCTTGAAACTTTTAGGGTTTCGGTGGGTTGAAGGCTCCCCGGTGTGCTATGGCTTAGGTAGCTGACCGCAGGAAGAATCCAGCGTCAAACTGGTAGAAACACCATTGTTGCGTTGAATGATCAATGTACTGCCTGAGCCTTGGAGCCGCAAGGCATTGCCGTGAGAACATTCGTGAACGGCTTTTGTCCTTGTCCAAGCGCTTCCACGCAGGGCAGCAGGATCTTTGTAGTGGAACAAGTGCATCGCTACTAGTAGCATGAAGCTAAGACCAAAAATATTCAAAACCATCCAATGAAGTCCACTTTCGGGGGGAGCAGCACGACACTCCCAGTCAAGGCTGCTCAGTCGGTTCAAGAATATAGGGTCTATTCGTACACAAGAAGGACAGAAACTCATGGGGTTCCTTGAAGTGTAAGAAAGCAAGCCAACGAGTTCATTTCCAACCAATATAGCAAACACTGTCACTGCGGCAGTAATCTTGCAACTATAGCAAACACTGTCACTGCGGCAGTAATCTTGCAACTCAAACCTTGTTTGCCCACAGCCTCTCACAGACTGAAGAACGATCTCACCTGCATCCATGCCCTATCCTATCAGAACCTCAGGCAATCCTTTTCGTGGCTGTGGACAGAGTATCACAGAGCCCCAACCAAGGACCTCAATATATAAGTATCATTATCATGTTCCACACCGATGACCCATCATGGCCAATGGGTATGACTGGATCTTTTTCCTTTCGAAAGGGCAGCACTTTCATGTGGGCCGTCGCAGCTGGCCAGTGGCACTGGCAACACTGACAGCCACAGGGATGGGCACAGGCGACGAATACCGTTCGTGGGCACGAAGCCCATGATTCATGTTACAAACGGCTACAGTGCAGTGAGTTTGTAACAATTAGATGAGATCCCGGATCGCCAGCCAAACGCTCAAACGAAGGGAATTGTGGTCGTCACTCAGTGTAATAAACATGTGAATGGTTCTGCCACGCCAACAGCTAGCAGCTAGCAAGCCCGAAAGAAAGGCACAGTGCTGGCGTCAATGTCATTCTGTGTTCAATCCAGCACCAGTGAAGGCAGTGGTCGGTTAAGTGTGCGGGCAAGTCTTAATGGTGTGTGGCTGGCTCCATGGGCCACAACAGAAACTGTGTGTGACACGGGGTCTTCCCCAAGATGTGCACAGACATGTTAACAACCTCAGACAACTTAGACAAAGACAATCTGTAGGATCCTTCCACAGACAACTCTTCCATGCAGTGGTTCAATCCTGATCTAGTCTGGCTATGCTCATGTGGCAGGTAAAGGCCCACCTGTGCTGGTCCCTCTGGCACCGTGGCGTTACAGCCGCTTGAATACGTTATCGGTTCCTGGCATCCTTTCTTCGCTTGCACCCCCAGTTGGATCTGATCCATTTTGGGATGGTGTGAGGTTGGAATTGTCTGATTGTGTCACTCCAACAAGAAAAGCACCCTGGTCCTCGGGAGCCCTGGTTGTGTCCCAGTAGTCCTGATCAAACCTTGGGGTCCTTGGCGCGCCGCGCCAAGTGCAAGCAGGAGCTCGCGGATCCTCAGACGAAAACAATCTTCTTTACATGGTTCGGAGGTGCGTGCTGAGAAACGACCAGAAATCGAGGCACCGAATTTGGAAGGAAACCAAAAAAGCTATTGAATGCCATCGCTATTGGAAACAAAAAAAAGAAAAGGAAGAAAGGGAACCCAAAAAGCACTCTCTCATCAGATGGGCCCCCCAAAGAGATACCTCGCACCACACCGCCGAAGCTGAGGGCCTGAGGGCACACCTCCTCGGAAGAGGGAATTCCCCAAATCTATCCATCGATTGGTGTTTGTCTTTGCCACATAATGTCCTGGAGTTCGATCGGAACAAGGACGCTATTAGGTAGAGGCCATCGCAAGTAGGTTGGAGGCCATCGCTACTAGTAGCTACAAGCTACTAAGTGGAGGCCATCGCTACTAGGGTGCAGTCCATTCCGATTTGGTTCCTTTTGCTAATAGTGACAAGAAGCTACTAGGGAGTTCGATCGGCCAAAAATCTCAGGAGATGAGATTCCCTCAGGGACTTCGATTCACGAGACTGCGCGGCCAAAGCTTCGCACAAACTTCGATTCACTTGGCTTTCTGAGATTCAGCGATTCCAACGCAAGACATCGCCACTACCGTTAGACCTGTTTGAAGACTTCGGGTTGCAAAAACATTAGCAATCAGTGAGATGAAACATGCAAACCCAAGCCTTCCAAACCTGATGCATGACTATAGTACATATATATATACATATTGTCATGCATATTTCTATATAACATGTATGTATGCACTCTTGCTACTTGTTCAAAAGAACCCCCCAGACACTTGCGAGTTTAGAGGATGACTACATTCCTTTGAGTGGAGCTCTGGGCTCCGACTATGTTTGATGCGTCCATCTTCCACGTTCCTTTCGTTTGTTTGATGTTTTGGGCGTGGTGGCGTTGGCAGCAACAAGACCCAGGGTCCACTTGCACTTAGCAACCCTTAAATTGAGGCGATTGCGTTCCTTAACGCAGTTCTGGGTGCTATGCTAGTTTGCTTGAAGATACCAAACTCAGAGGACCCTGGCCACAACGACCGACATTGTGAGATCACGACAGAAATTGGACGGAAGAATGAAGAATGCATTGTGCTAAACCTGAATCTCTCGAGCTTTGAGTTCGTTCCAGCAGGGCTCAGGCTGTAACCACCAGGTCAGGGAGTCAAACTGTTGGTATAAGTCACATCATGCAAAAGAAAATCTGCAGGTATGGGTTCCTTTTGTTCGGGTGATCTAGTCATAGGTATAGATCGATAGTACATGTTATATCTATATAGTGAGTAACAACCAAAAAGGTGTCTGAAATAGCTATAGTCTATGCTGATGTCCATCCTTTCTCAACTCCGCATGCCCAGTTGATTTCCACTTAGGCAGTTAGGCATCAGTAGCACCTCAAGGCCTACTCTCTCAAGGACTCAAGGCCTATACGCTCAAGAATTATCCAGCCCAAAAATAGATTTTGGAGGGTTCTGGAGTGTTGGTTGGCCATTCACTCCTTGGAACCTGTGGTATTTGCAGGCTGCTTTCCAGTCTTGGCACATCGAATGCAGAGTTCAATTGGAATTTGGTGCTAGGAATACGTGAGACTAAAACTCAGGACAACAAAATGTCGAGCACTTTCGAGCAGACTTCGCAGAAAACCCTCACTTTGCGTTGGTTTTCATGGGGACACGACTCAACCAACTCCGATACTTTTGTCAGAGTCTTGGAGCTCAGGCTGTAGGCACAAACTACCTAAAAGGCCAACCCCAAGACCACCGGTGATTCCGTTATTCACGGATCTCTTTGATGAGTGTGACTCTCCATGCTCTCCCTGACCCAAGGGTCATCTGAGTCCAAGGGCCGCACACGAAGAATTGCCATGAACTTGCCAGTCATACAGTTGGCGAACAAAAAAAAAATCAAAAAGAAAAAAGCCTCCAATCTACTAGCAATGGCCTCCTCCAACCTAGTAGCAATGGCCTCCAACCTAATTGCGATTGCCAGTCATGCAGTTGGGGGTGGAAGAACGCTTACAGTAAATGGTGTAGTGTAGATGTTCTCACCCCGCGGGTGCTGGCTGGCGCTCCCTTAGCTGCTATGAAATATTCAGAACCTCTGCTGCACATCCAGCAGTGAATTCTCCCAATCAAAGACGGGCAAGCTGTTTAATGAGTTCATTGTCCACCTCCATGGTTACACATTGCTCAAAATGGGGCCGGACTGTAGCTGGAAGGGGGCCCATAACGGAAGTAGTTGCAGTTCAAAGTGCAATGGAAACGAGAACTGGCACTCAGCTGACAAATGACTGTCCATCATTCCTATGGCAACTCTTCTGCGCTAGCAGCAAACACAGTTTGCTGCAGTTCAATTATCACACTCGGCCAGTATGTCCACTTGGGGATTCTGCCAATTTCATGGATGTACCTGATCGGTCCAGGTTGTACGGGAGAAAGCATTCGCCCTACTTGAGAAAGGACAAAACTCGTCCAGCTTCGATCCTCTTGCAGCATTCCCATCAGCCTCTTATGCCACTCAAGCCTGGGTTTGGAAAGCCCCATGTTTGGATGTTCTATGTGTTCATTGAGTGTCAAGCCGTTGGGAGCTTAATCTGACTACAGTAAGTTCCGAAGCAAAAAAGGAAAGCAGCAGCAATGATCCCCACCGCTGGGCTACTCGACTGCCCAACGACCGGGCCTCCCGGTGTTGGACATCCTCTGCATGGGCAGCGGATGGACCTTCAAAGAGAGCAACCCTAATGGATGTTCATCGATGTTCCAGCTTTGGAATTTGGGAGGCCATTGAAACAAAGGCTACTAGTAACAAGAAGCTACTAGTAACAAAGGGCATCGCTACTAGTAACAAGAATCTACTAGTATCTCCTGGCATCGCTACTAGTAACAAGGATGCTACTAGTAGCTCCGGGCCTTACTACTGGGCGTCCTCCATTGAAACCATCTTTCTCCAAGCCTTCCGACCATGGACCGAACTGACCCAATAGCTCTCGAGCCTTATACCCACCCCCCTTCGTCGGCTCGGAAGACTTTTCAAAACATGACCGACCCTCAGGCATGCACCCCTTGGTGTTGAACAACCTCACAATCTGTGGGTTGAATATGCAGCCCAACTTGGTTCCATGAGCTAGGGCGGCCAATACTACTTCCTGACTAAAAGCGGCAGCACTGGACTGTTGTCTACTGCAAGTAGGGTGGGTTTCCCTCCTCCGCCAACCCCCGATGTTTTTACTCGAGATCCTTCAGCTTGACAATGGTGTTGTTGTTTCGGGTGAAGCGGTTAATTTGGGAGTCAGTGTCCAAAATTGTGAGGTGTTCTTCGATTTTGTCTCGAGTCTGGATTGTTTGAACGTGTGCATGGTATTGCACAACACTGCCAAGTGCAGATTGAGATGCAAGCGGCATGTGAAGCGAGTTACAAGTAAATGACGGAGGATTTTCAATGCACATACTGCAGTACATGGACATGAACAACAAAAATCGACATACTGACATACATATATGACATACACCCACACAAATCCATGATCCGACCAACACGTCCCCAGAACGGCACGTTCCAAGCCTAGAACATGTGGAGAGTGAGGAGACTGAGTTAGAATCACAGCCTCCCAGGTCAATCCGAAGTCGAGCACCATCTCGGCTCGCTCCCTCTCAGCTCAGCATTGGCCACTCGTGCCTACTAGTGATGGGCGGATGGTTTGAAAGGTAAAGGGTGCCGGCCCAAGCGCCTTTTATCTTACATATATACAAATATGTATCAGATGTGTGTGGGATCTCCTGAAAAGCGCACGCATCTGATCAGATCTTCCAACATGAGTCTGTCTCACAAAAAAAGAATCAAGGGGTCACTGAACGGGTTTCAGAGATCTGCTTTGGATGAAACGCACACACCTAAAAATGTGTTCAACCCACAGTGACATCAGGGTTCACAGATCTTTTGCCATTCTGTTTGCACCAATCTTCTCCCTTTGCGTCAGAGAAGGCGTGAATTTGTTCGATGATTTGTATTATATATTTCTTTCCCAGGAAAAGAATAAGCTCGCATTGCGAGATAGTTTCGGTGATCACAATGGTGGTTCCGACATGAACAAAGAGCACTCACAACCTCCAAACTCCATCGGGAAGAGTGGATACCAAAGTGGATTGAAGATCAATGAACGCGATGGTCTCTTGACTACCAACCATCAAGAGCCTACTCTTCTAATAGTCATCTGCATGTTCTGGTTGAGGGCCACCCTGGATAGTAAAACCCTGCATGTCTCCGACTCAGAACCCATGAAAACCCTTGGTCAGGTCAGGGTCCATCTCGGCTCATGCACCCACATGTTGAACAAGTCAAACACCCTTGCAAAACGAGGCCGGCGGTTACGGTTTACCCCTCAGCCAGGTCTCTTCAGGCCTCTTCATCTAGCTGTTCGGCGTCAACCGATAAATAACCTGGCTGTTGTCTTGAGCCTCTTGGTCTTCCCTCCGTGCACCAAAGAAACATGCAACTTCATTTTCGCCATGCAGAGCCTTTGGGGGAAACCAAAACTGTCTTGGCGTATATCTTTTGGCAATATAACCACGAAAAGGATGAAAAGGATGCTCTTCTGAGTTTCGACGAGGCTTCTGCTTTTTTCAACTCGCAAGGATGTTTGGCACATGGTCCAAAGAGTGAGCTTTCCAATCAACCAACATCTCCGTGGCCCGAAAACTGTCGGCTCCAAAATTGCAGCTTTGTGGGGATGTGCCGCAACTATTGGACCGTGACCTGGCAACCCCTCCAGCTGAGGCATGTGCTGACATCACCCGCGTCGCTGGTCCTTAACAGGAGAAGAATCCATGTGTCAAAGGATATGCTGAGCCTTGTGAACAAGAGTTACGTGCTCAATCCACCCCAAGCTTCTCCATGCGTTCAAAGGGGTATGCGTTGACGACAGCCTATGCCTCATGTTCTCAGACGTCTGAGAGGACGAATCTGCTAAACCCTAGTCATGGCCTCTGAACAAGCCTACCCAGCCAGCCACCTTGTGCATGATGGCGGTATTGCCATGTGGTTATTGGTCAAAACCAGGCAAACCCTAGTTGAAAATCAAAAATGAACATAATTGTCTTTGGAGGTGCAACTCGGAATTATTTCTCGTTTTGATCCGCCATATGTCCACTGTGGATCCTGTGTGGATCGCTGTCGCCACATCTTGTCTCAGGACTCCACGTGGTTCGAGACTCCGCCGTGGACCGGATGGAGAAGCCTTCAATGGTTCGCCTGTGGAGATCGAACCCCTTCGGACCTCACAGGAGATTTAGTTGACCCAAACTGAGAGAGCTGCTCAAAAGCCCCAACACCTATATGATTCAGACCAGAATTTCTCTTTTCACAGTATGAACACCTGTCACCGTGGTGCCTCCGAAGGTGGAACTGAAGAGTTACCAAGTGATCTGGGCTATGCAGTGAGGTTGATCGACTTAGTGTCACTTCTTGAAGGAACCTGCTGTACAAAGCATAAATAGTACAAATTGGACATGAAAAAAATAGAGTCATAAAGTAGTAGCAGTAGTAGTAGCAGCAGCAGCAGCAGTAGTAGTAGCAGCAGTAGTAGTAGCAGCAGCAGTAGGAGCAGGAGCAGGAGCAGGAGGAGCAGGAGGAGCAGGAGCAGTAGGAGTAGTAGGAGTAGTAGTAGTAGGAGTAGTGGGAGTAGTAGGAGTAGTAGGAGTAGTAGGAGTAGTAGGAGTAGTAGGAGGGGTAGGAGCGGTAGGAGCCGTAGGAGCGGTAGGAGGGGCAGGAGGGGTAGGAGCGGTAGGAGCGGTAGGAGTGGTAGGAGTGGTAGGAGTGGTAGGAGTGGTAGGAGTGG